GTAATGCATAAAATCATAACAAACAACTTAATTTTTAGGCATTTCTTATTGTAACTTGATATTATTCAAATAAATGGATACAAAGGACATCTGAAAATCTTCTGCAAAAGATGATGGTCGTAATTGTATTTGTGGGCACACCATTCAATGAATGGCATATGCAAGTTGGCAAATGAATGTGGAAAACCTTATGCAAAAGATGATGATAATATTATTTGTGGTCACACCATTCAATGAATGACAGATGTAAGTTGACAAATGAATGTGGGCAGACATTGAATGATAGATGTGAAGTGAGTAAGAATTCACTCGGGCTCCTTCGACTCGGTCGGCCTCCGTACCTGCAAGAACCCAACGCCGGGAGGGGTCCCGGCGTCGGGCATCCGACGCTCAAATCAGTGTCACTCCAAATCCCAAGAGTATAATTATGAATGTCGAGAGAGTGTGAGAATGGGATACCTTGGCCCCCTTTTATAGGGGGAATGTACCTTATGGCCCAAGTTGGGCATGTCCAATATCATCATGCCACGTGTCCTAGCCATGTGTAGGCTTATTCTTCAATACATCCCCTTTTTATCCATTAAGACTGGTCTATGAGATAATATCCTATATCATCTAGTCCCCCCACTCTGGTCGAGTAAGCATAACTCGATGCAAGAGTGAAATTCCTCTTCGAGCTGTTTCCGTCAACCTGACACTGAGGTTGTAATTTGAATAAATCGTCGACCACCAAATAGTCCCTAGATTTCCAAATGAGCATCGGGACCCCAAATGACCACTAAGGTAAAAAATCGAAAGACCCGCCACTGGGGTCGAACACCGAAAGCTGATCGACCACTGAGGTCGAAAACCGAGTGACCCGCTACTGGGGTCGAATACCAAGAGACTCTCCACTGGAGTCAAACACCGAAAGCTGATCGACCACTAAAGTCTAAAATCGAGAGACCCGCCGCTGGGGTCGAACACCGAAAGTTGATCGACCACTGAGGTCGAAAATCGAGAGACCCGCCACTGGGGTCGAACACTGAAAGCTGATCGACCACTGAGGTCAAAAATCGAGAGACCCGCCACTGGGATCGAACACTGAAAGTTGATCGACCACTGAGGTCGAAAATCGAGACACCCGCCACTGGGGTCGAACACCGAAAGTTGATCAACCAATGAGGTCGAAAACCGGGAACCGAGTGACCGTCGATGAGGTCGAAAATAGAAAACCAAAGTCTTGAATTTAAAAATTTGAACTTACGTCTTGTTGTTTTTCGATCACCATGTTCGAGCCCTCTTCATTCAAAGATAAACCTTTCCTACCACCTCGTCCTATCATCGCCCCCTCAGTTCAAAATTTGAAATTCAACCCTGCTGTTTATCCTCTTGAAAACCGAATGTCCTGACACCACATCGAAGTCGAAAGCCTAATTTCGACAAAACTAAATAAAATCATCAAACCTGAATAACTTGACTCCGTAAACTGCTCGAGTGAAGTCCCTCGACCTGCCACCGAGGTCGAAAAATAAATTCGACAAGACCAAACCAAGCGAAAACCATCAACCTGCTCGTGTTGTAATTAATGCCCTCTATCTTCCATTGAGGTCGAAAAATAAATTCGACAAAACCATAATCAAATAAAAAGCAATTAACATGCTCGATCAATAATGAATACCCCCAACCTGCTATCGAGGTCGAAAGATAATTTTGACAAGGCCAAACCTGTTCAAAAACCATCAACCTGCTCGAACAATAATCAATACCATCGACCTGCCACTGCTCGAGCAACAATGAATATCAACAAAACCAGAATCAGATAAAGATAATCGACCTACCACCGAGGTCTGCTCGAGCTATCCGTAATGAACTCCATCTCCCTTCTCTTGAAGTCGAAAAATAAATTCGACGAAAACAAGAATCAAATAACGATAATCGACCT